AGGCTTTCCCCTGCCCCTACTTCCCCGCCCTCGAGAAAAGTTGTTGACCGAAAAAGAAAAAGCCCCCCGAAAAAACTTGTTGAGCAAGCAAACAAACAAAAAAGGACGGGAAAAATAAGTTGTTAAGCAAAACAAACAAACAAACAAAGTTTGCCCTTTTATCAGTAGAGCAAGCATTGCCCTTTTAAGGGCAGCCATTTTGAACTCTGTTCTCCCAGCACCGGAATCAGCAGGGTCGTCTGGGGAGGCCATACCAGGTAAGTGCCAGCACTGTCCCCTATCCGGGGGGGGAGGCGGGAAGGGAGACCAGGGACCATGCACATGGGCCATGCCTCCCGCAGATCACACAGCCACCTGTGCACGTGCGGGCATGTGCCATGCCACCATTGGGCAGGTGGCTCCAGCTGCATGCCATACAGGGGCCATGGCCCGATAGGCATACATGTGTGTGAAGAGACCTGACATGCTCCTGACCCCGGGGTGGGACACAGAAGGATGCCCTCCCTTCACACACCCCCTCTAAACAGATATTAGAGGTGATAATTGGGGAAGCTATCTTTGTAATGGGTAAGATAATTAGATTCTTTATTCAGACTCAGGTGTAAAGTGTCGAATTTAAGCATGAATAACAGTTCAGAGGATTCTCTTTCAAGTGCAGTCTCAACGACTTAATTACCTGCATCCTGCTTCAAAAGCCTTTTAAGACTGATATTAACCTCTAATATCATTAGCTCACAGACATTTACCTTCCCCTCCCACCCCCCTTCTGTTCTGAAATTTGATTTGTCCTTTTCATATGTGTTCATTTTTTTAAATTGTATCCTTTGGTATATATGGTTGTGACAATTTTCTTCCACTATTTGATCTGAGGAAGTGGGTCTGGCCCACGAAAGCTCATCACCTAATAAACCATCTTGTTAGTCTTTAAAGTGCTACATAGTCCTGTATTTTGTTTCAGCTACACCAGACTAACATGGCTACATTTCTATCACTATAGAAGGACTAAGTATTCTCTAGACTATATCTGACAAGTGTTTGTCTAACCTGTTCTTAAAAATCTCCAATGATGGAGATTCTACAACCTCCCTTGGCAATTTATTCCAGTGCTTAACTAACCAGACAGCTAAGAAGTTTTTCATAATGTCCATCCTAAACATCCCTTGCCCCTTCTCTTTCCAAACTAAACAAATGCATTTTTTTTAATTCCTCCCTTATAGGTTATACTTTCTACACCTTTAATAATTTGTATTGCTTTTCTCTAGACTTTTTCCAATTTGTCCACATCTTTCTTGAAATGTGATGCCCACAGCTGGACACAGCACTCCAACTAAGACCAACTAAGTACAGAATAGAGTAAAATAATTACTTCTTGTGTCTTACTTACAACATTCCAGAATGATGTTTGTTTTTGCAACAGTATTAATTTGTTGATGCATATTTAGCTTTAGCTATGTTGAGGTAGAGCTCATGGCTAGACATTCATGAGGATATTTCAAAGAGACAAGTTAAGATTTAGTTTGGACAGCAGACCGGTCTTGGGCAGCGAGGCAGTTCTGTGAGTTGGCAGCACAGAGATGGTAGTTGAACTTATGTTTACAGATACTGTCCAGAGATAAAGGATAGAGGGAGAAAAGAAGAGGCTTGAGAGCCCTGTGAAACTGCACAGAAATTTGGAAATTGGATGAGGTAAATTCTCTGAAGGATACACTGAAGGAGATTAAAGTTATAGGAAGACAACCAAGACAGGACAAATTATAAACTCTCTCAATAGAATACATCTTTTTCAGTGCTATTTCTGTTAATTTGAATATTAAAATTATATAATGCTATATTATTTATTTTGGAAAAGAAAATGTTTAAATTTTGGTATGGCTGACAGAATGTTTTATTCATAGTAAAACATGAAAAATAATATTTTCCTTAGAAATACAATTTAAAGTTACAATTGTAAGTCTGATATTCCATAATGACTTCTTTACACTTATATTTCTAACATTAAATAGTAAAATCCTACCAACGGCTTTAGATAAATGACACTCCAAACATCCCTGGCCCTTAAAAGGAGAGGAAATGGAATGTCTTGTTTTTCTATATTTTGTTTCCTTTTTCTTATGAATCAATGAAAATCAAAATCATATTATATTTTCCCTTAAGAAATTTGTAAGAAATACACGTACAAAACTTTAAAACTACATCACAACAGAAGCTAAATTAGCTCACCACAAACTGGATACAAATGTCTGAACAGTAAAAAGTCTCCATGTTCTTTTACCTGGCCAAATACTTGAT